AAATCGATCTGAGTTGTTTTCTATTTTCCAGACCTTCCACGCTGAAATTCAAAATTAATTTGGGGTTTCTATCCGCACATTTCGTAGTGATAATGCCCTAGAGTATTTGTCTTCCCCATTTCAGCAGTTTATGAACTCCAATGGGATTATTCATCAAACATCTTGTCCGTACACATCCCAACAAAATGGGGTAGCTGAAAGAAAGAATAGACATCTTATTGAAATTGCTCGTACCCTACTCATACAATCTCATGTTCCGTTGCGTTTTTGGGTGGATGCAGTTCTTACATCTTGTTATCTTATTAACCGTATGCCATCTTCAGCTATCCAAAATCAAGTTCTATTCTCTGTCCTGTTTCCCCACTTAGCTTTGTTCTCTCACCCCGTGTCCTTGGGAGTACGTGCTTTGTTCATGACCTTACTCCAGGAAAAGATAAGTTAGCTCCTCGTGCTCTTAAGTGCATATTTCTGGGTTACTCGAGAATGCAAAAGGGATATCGATGTTATTATCCTGACCTTCAGCGATTTCTTATGTCTGCTGATGTTACCTTCTTTGAAACCCAATCATACTTCACAAGTCCAGTTAATCACTTAGATATTTCTGAGGTGCTACCAGTTCCTTCTTTTGGAGATTCAGTCCCTAACTCCCATTCATCTTCCTCCATAGCTCCACCACCTATAGTTTCAGTTGCAGCTCCACCACCTACAGCTCCAGTGCCACCACCGAGTCCAGTTCCACCAACTATAGCTCCAATGCCACCACCTAGTCCAGTTCAACCTTCTACAGCTCCACCACTCCTGACTTATCATCGTCGTCCGCGCCCAGCATCAGGCCCAGCTGATTCACGTCCTGCACCTGACCCTGCTAATACTGCGGACTTGTCTCCTCTTAATCAATCGATTGCACTACGAAAAGGTATACGGTCCACACTTAATCTTAATCCTCATTATGTCGGTTTAAGTTACCATCGTCTGTCATCATCCCATTGTGCATTTGTGTCATCTTTGTCCTCTGTTTCCATCCCTAAGTCTACAAGTGAAGCACTGTCTCATCCCGGATGGCGACAGGCTATGATTGACGAGATGTCTGCTTTACATACGAGTGGTACTTGGGAGCTTGTTCCTCTTCATTCGAGTAAATCGACTGTTGGTTGTTGTTGGGTGTATGCAGTCAAAGTTGGTCCAGATGGCCAGGTTGATCGACTTAAGGCTCGCCCTCGAGCCTGGTTTGGTAAGTTCAGCACAGTTATTCAGGAGTTTGGCATGACTCGTAGTGAAGCTGATCACTCTGTATTATCGACATTCTGCTTCAAATCTCTGTATTTATCTGGTCGTTTATGTTGACGATATTGTTATTACCGGCGATGATCAGGATGGTATTAGTAAGTTGAAGCAACATCTCTTTCAGCACTTTCAGACTAAGGATCTGGGCAGATTAAAGTATTTTCTGGGTATTGAGGTCGCCAAGTCTAGCTCAGGTATTGTGATCTCACAATGGAAGTATGCCTTAGATATTCTTGAGGAGACGGGAATGACAGGTTGTAGACATGTTGACACTTCGATGGATCCGAATTCTAAACTTCTGCCACGACAGGGGGAGCCTCTTAGCGATCCTTCAAGATATAGGCGGTTGGTTGGTAAATTAAATTACCTCACAGTGACTAAACCTGACATTTCCTTTCCTGTGAGTGTTGTGAGTCAGTTTATGGATTCTCCCTGTGATAGTCATTGGGATGCAGTTGTCCGCATTCTTCGGTATATCAAATCAGCTCCAGGCAAAGGCTTATTGTTTGAGGATCAAGGTCATGAGCAGATCGTTGGGTACTCAGATGCTGATTGGGCAGGATCACCTTCTGATAGACGTTCTACGTCTGGATATTGTGTCTTAGTAGGAGGAAATCTGGTGTCTTGGAAGAGCAAGAAACAGAATGTGGTTGCTCGGTCTAGTGCAGAAGCAGAATATCGAGCAATGGCTATGGCGACATGTGAGCTAATTTGGATCAAACAGTTGCTCAAGGAGTTGAAATTTGGTGAGATTAGTCAGATGGGGCTTGTGTGTGATAATCAAGCTGCTCTTCATATTGCGTCAAATCCAGTGTTCCATGAGAGAACTAAACACATCGAGATTGACTGCAACTTTGTTAGAGAAAAGATACTCTAGGGAGATATTACTACAAAATTTGTGAAGTCGAATGATCAGCTTGCTGATATTTTCACCAAGTCCCTTACTGGTCCTCGTATTAGTTATATATGTAACAAGCTCGGCACATATGATTTATATGCACCAGCTTGAGGGGGAGTGTTTGTTTGATAGTTAAATAGTAGTAAATAACCCTAATCCCATATGTATTAGGAGTAGGGCATGTATTTTATATATATAGGGCTCATTGTAACATATGTATATACATCAATAATATATTTTCTCCCGTACTTTCTCACATATGCCAATGACGACTAATTTGAGATGGTAGGCTTGCTTTTTTCTTGTTTATAGTTCTTCAATCCCCNTACAACAAAATTTTAAAACAAAAAACGAAAAATAGGAGAAAGGATCGTAACCCATAAAAAATAAAGAGAACTATGAAAAAGATGTGTATGAAATAAATACCTGGGAATGTTGTCTATTTGATGAAAATGGAAAGAAGGGAGGCAATGGAGAAGAAGAAATACTGAAATTGCAGAAATTTCTTCCTCTCCAACGCGGAATTAGAATGAAGAAATGATGGACACAAAGAGTCTCTCTTTTTGAATGGATCAAATATTGAAGGGAGAAAAGTGGAAGGTCCCGCGAAAAACCAGGTTTTCTACACTTTCTTGACCGTTGGGATTTTTACACTTCTCCTACATCACATTTTCACCTCTTTATTTTTTTTTCTTTTCCGGCTAATTCGAGAATATTATTTTCCCTTTATTTCAATGTGACTTTTATTTCATGATAAATTAATACAATTATCCCTTTAATTTATAATTCATGATAAGTTAATGTGATTTAATATAAATACGGAGTGTCTATAATTTTTTATCGTTAAGTCAGCCCCTCTACCTCTACGGTTAAGAATCGACATAAATGTCTTATGTCGGTTTGAGTTCCACATGTTAGCTCATGATTGGTCATAAAATCATCATTCAGACTGGAGGGTCATGAACTTTAGTAATTTTTTGTCTGACTGAATAATTTATTTATAAGAAAATATAGAAGTAATTTGAGCGTCGATATGAATAAACAGCGTGGATCAATGAATTTCTTAGTCGGACCACATGGGAATATTGTAGTCAAGGGTATGTACTATAGAATTTAAATTGTATGCATTTTACAAAATCAAGTTACTTAAAAGATAATTGCAAATAATTTTATTTAATAAAATTAAGTAATAACATAATAAGTAATATGCTATAACATGGTAAATTATAGTAATAGCGTAAAAAAAGTTATTTTCTCATTTGTTTTTCACCTCATTGTTGTATTTGAGTAGTAATTTTTTTTTTTTTGATGATTTATGACCCTCATTTTCACTAATGGTAGTAATATACTAACATAGTTTGAGAAGTACTAGTGTATAGCAATGACTTTCACCGAAAAAATAAAGTAAAGTGATAGAGAAAAATTGGATAATAACTAATTTTATTTATTTAAAATAAGATATTGATAGCTTCTAAGAAACACTAGTTGAGGGCAATTTGTGAAATAAGAACTTCATCTTTCTAATTTTATCCTTGTAATATGCGGATATGAAATTCTTTTGTTTATCTTGAAAATGGTAATAATATTTTAGATTTGATTTTGTGGTTCTAAAAATATGTGATCTATTTTTATGCTAGTTGTTAGGCAATAGATGCTAAGTAAAAGGTTAGAAAATAGAATAAGAGCTTGTAGATGGCTTAATAATCAAACCGAAATGGCTGGGAATCGAGGCCTCGAGCTTGCATATGCGGGGCCTCGAGGTCGAGTCGGATGCTCGGTTAAGGACAGTTGATGAAGGATTAACAGTTATGGGAGCTGCGATGGCGGCTCTCTATGATCAATAATGAGCAATAAATGATGAACAATTAATAGAACACAATGAATATATGCAATAAATGTAAATAATGAAACCAAGAGAATGTGTTCAAGCTAGAGAGCAGAGGATGTTCTTGTATTGAATGTAGTGTGTTGTATCTTGTGTATCCGATGCCTTTTACAAAATGACAAGGATCCCCTTTATATATGGACGGAAATCCCAACATAATACACGAGTAATTATTACAAAGAAAAGTAGCTGGCACAGCTACTTACTAGTCTGGTATGGTACAGACTAGTGTTTCCTTTGCAGGTTTTGTCAGCTTTGATCATATGCCTTGGGAACTTCCCGCTAGTGTGTCGTAGCCGTTGGTTTGCACTGCCTCGAGGTCGATCATTACGAACCCTCGGGGGCGAACTCCGAGCTAGACTTCGAGCCTCCCGGGGTGGTCTTTTTTGAGGCGCCCTAGTGATCATAAAATCGAGCCCTCTGATTTTTACCGTATACAAAAACAATTTTCCCTTCTCTACCATGTTTCTTCTCCTACCTCGGGTTTCCGAATCCACTCCTCATTCTTGAATTGATGTTCTACCTATTGACCACACTCCACCTATATCATCAAACACCACTACACCTATACTCACTCCTGATATCTCCCTAGTTCTCAATATCTACTCCCGTATCCACGCCATTGGATGTCATAATTTCACCACCCACTACTCCAGCTCCAGCTCCGCGCTCACTACAACAATATCAACAGAGTCTCATGTCCAACTGCTCCTATTCTGAAATTGAGTGAAGATGGCTCAAACTCTTCTTTGCAACAGGTAAATAGTCCACTTCATCCACCAGCTCATATAGTCACTCGGTCCCAGCACAGTATCTTCAAACTGAAGAAACCACTTGATTATTCAGCTCTCTAAGAATCAGCGGGTCCTTTTTGTTAGGATTTTGCCCTGAATTTCTAATCTATTAGGATTCTCTTTCTTGAAGGAAAAAAAAAACTCATAAAAAGAATAAATCTCATTCATGTGCATTATCCTTTTCTTGGAGGAGAAGTTTTGTACTTCTATAACTTGATATTTTCTTCTCACAACAAGAACAACAACAATAGCATCCACAATGTAGTCATTAAAGAGTCTTGTTTAGGGGAGAATTTTCTCTCAATGGTTTTTATATTTTTATACTAGTTTGCATTGTTAGCTTCGAATGCGTCATGTTATTTAGATCCCAACACTCTTGTGGCTCCTCGCACATATACAGAAGTAGTCCAGCATGGCAAGATCCAATGCATGAAGAAATTGATGCCCTTGTCCGCAACAAGACTTGGTCCCTCGTTCCTCCATCTGCAAACCGAAATATCATTGGCTGCAAGTGGGTTTTTCGGGTCAAATTAACAAAAATCCGATGAAATCTAGATCGATTCAAAGGTTGGCTAGTTGCAAAAGGATTTCATCAGCGCCCTAGTATTGACTTCACCTCAACTTTCCGTCCAGTGGTAAAACCAACAACTATCCCTCTGATTCTAACTTTGGCCACATACTCCAAATGGCTTCTTTATCAACTTGATGTGAATAATGCATCTATCCAAGGTAAACTAGAGGATGAGGTTTACATGGAGCAACCCCCTAGTTTTGTCAACTCTAAGTATCTTATGTTTGCAAACACCATAAGGCAATTTATGGTCTTCGCCAAGCCCCTAGTTCATGTTATAATGAATTCAAGAAATTTATTTGCTCAATTGGGTTTGTTGGTTCTAAGTCGGATACTTCACTTTTTACAATGCATGGTCTGACCTATGTTGTTTTTCTACTTCTCTATGTCGATGATATTATATTGACAGGTTCTTCTGATGCAAAAGTACTTGAAGTGAATACAGCTCTAGCAGCCCGTTTTCTCTGAAAGATCTACAGCCTCTTAACTACTTTCTTTGTGTTAAGGTTTGCCATACATCTGCAGGTCTTCTCCTCTCACAAAGAAAGTATATTGCTGATCTTCTTCATCGATTCAATATGCTTGATGGCAAAGGAGTAAATTCCACTTGCAGCATCGCTCCACTCACACTTGATGATGGCACTGCACCCACGGATCAAAAGCAATATCGTCAAGTTGTTGGTGCTATTCAGTATTTTTCTATTACCCGTCCTGGTATATCCTTTGCAGTAAATCGCCCATCTCAGTTCATGCATCGTCCCACTCATTCAAATTGGGATCTGTATTTTTATTTTCTATCTTGAGCTGCTTTACTCTTTTATAGTATATTTAAAGAAGGATACTGTAATGGAATAGCATAACCATTTTTATCAAACTCTCCAAACCTCTTTACTAACCAGTTAATAACGATAGAAATTTACCATTTGCTTTCTTCAGATGGATTTATATATATACGTACTACACTTATACCTGCTGAAAAGATGAGACCAGGATGGAGAGCACGAGAGGGATTGACAAGGCCAGCACCAAAACCAAAAGGAGCAGAAGTGTATAAGGTGTAGAGATCAAATCCATGAGCCATAATGGGGTCCCCAAGATTGTCATAAGTGGTGGCTGTGGTTGACATTGCTGAAGCTACCATTGATGGTGTCCATGATGGATTATATTGCTTTATTAGTGCAGCTATTCCAGCAATATGAGGGGTTGCCATGCTTGTACCAGACATTAGGGCAAAATTATGTCCTGCATATATCATAAATAGCGTATTCATATATTAACTTTATACCAGAAGAGTAGTTATAAAAAAATTCTAGAAACATATATACCAGACAGAATGGGATTTAAAACACTCATGGGACTCCAAGCTGCCCAAATTTGGTGTCCAGGAGCCAAAATATCAGGCTTAAGTACATCAGTAGGATTTTTACTTTGATCAATGTAATCAGGACCCCTTGACGAAAATCTACTAACTATAGGAGCTCTACCCTTGTAAGAAGCAATTCTTCCTTCACTTATGGCTGCTCTACCACCATATCTTACCACAAAACCATTCTTGTCCCTTACAGTTTCTCTTTCATAGTACTGCAATATATTCTGCAAATACAATAGATATAGTTATATATATATTTGTTAATTAATTAGGTACAGACAGACAGACCTGGGTATCACTAGTTGTTGGTATCATAATGCCAGGAGTGGCGAAAGGAATAGGCTCCGCTATGAAATCTCCATAACTTGGATTTGCAACAAAAACAAATGCTTTGAATCGAACAAGGTTGGCAGTATGTATGATGCCCATAAGACTGGAATTCCCATTATAGAAACCAGCTGAAAATGTGCAAATCACAACACTGTCTTCCACAACAAGAGGGTCAAATGCCTCTGGGTATTGGCATTCTTCCGCATTGAAAATTCTTGGAAATGTGCTATTTTTTTTTACTGCATCCTTAGCCAAAACCAGCTTATACTGAATCAATCCACCTCCAAATGTCGGTCCTACAAAAATACATACTAGTAACTGTGAAAATATATTGTTTAGAAGCCCTCAAAACAAAAATCATACTTTTCTTTTTTTTCATTAATTAACCTATGCATTATGCCATTATCTGCCACAACACTATATGTGAAATACAGAGTGAATTTAATCATCTTCGTATGATATATTCCAACGTCAAATAAGCTATCAACTGTCTACCCGTAAAACGGTATAGTTGAATTTATACGTGGTTTATAGACAAGTGAATTAGTTTGATCCAAAAATAATAGATGAATTAGACAAAAATACAAGAGTTAGCCTTAAAATTGAAATAGACGGCAGATATCTTGGTTCCGGGCGCAGAGCTACTGGGAGCAATAAAAACAACACAAATAAGCAAGAAGGTAAAATGTTGTGATATAATATAGTGTATGCTTATTAGATTATTCGTGTCCCCTTTACAATGATGATAGAGCTCACTATTTATAGTTGCACCTAGGGAACAAGGTCCTAGGATTAAGCTCCTCTTTAATGACAATTATGAGGGCATTATGAGGGCAATTGAAGGATATGTAACGGTGGGTAATGAATGCCACCATGCACTTAATGCTGTAGAATATTCTTCATTAAATGCTACCGGATGGCAGCGGCATTAATTTTGTCCTTATGAGTATCATTCACTCCGGTGACAAGCGAGATCATTGCCTTCGGGTTTGGCTATCTTCTGCCTTCGGTTTCACATGTCTCTTTCTCATGCGATCATTAGATACGAACATATTTTACCCCATACACCAACTAATTTTTCTTTTTTAAGTATCAAGTATGTCGTTGAAGTGACCAAATATCGACTATCCAACTTTTTTAGAGCGATCACTAAGTCTAGAAGTAAAGGCAGATTCCATATTTGGCACATAAATATATGATCGTTAAAGTTATTAATATTAAACTGTGTTGTAAGAAATTATGATCTAAGAATCTCATATACGGTGTTGCAAAAATTAATTTTAATTGAACCCATAGTGAAGCACATAGGCTCCATCCGCCTTGCCTTGAAGTTTTCTCGAATTAGCCGGTCTCCACTTTCAATGTTAAAGAAAACAAATGTTTCCAATCCTAGTTTCTTCTTTTTCTTGCTGTAAAGGTGGCCGGTTTGTGGGATCTCACGCTTTTCTCATTAGTAATGCAACTATATATACAAAATCGCAACATAACCCTAACTTTCTCTCCAAGTTCCTAGAAAATAGGCCTACACATAGTACAACATTTATTTACTGTATTTGCTATATACGGTCAATACCCCTCCTCATGTTGTGTAATGAGGATTTCAAATGCCCAAAAGTGTTCATACTATGATGTCCTAATGCCTTCGCAAAGATATTTGTCAACTAATCATGAGAAGGAACATAACTGTGATGTATACTGCAGGCGACTAGCTCATCTCTAACAAAATGGCAATCTACTTCAAGATGTTTGGTCCGTTCATGAAAGACTGGATTCCGGACTATATGCAAAGCCAGACATGATAATTATGTTCCACTCCCAGGCTATGTAAAATTCCTTTCAACCACTTCATCTCACAAATAGTCATTGCCATGGATCTATACTCCGCTTCTACTTAGGATCGAGACACAATAAGATGCTTCTTAGTCTTCAATGGTATAGGAGAGCCGCCAAGGGAAATAACTATTCTATGAGCAACCATCTTGTTAAAGTACATCCGGCCTTGTCCGAATCGCCCCATCCGTCTAGATGGAGGTCAAAATCATTGCGCAGGACAACACTCATAGGTTCCCCTTTAAGTAAAGTACGACCCAGAGAGTAGCTACTCAATGCTCTATCGCGGTTGTTGCATGAATCGTGACAGAAAATGCACATTGTAAGATAACTCTGACAGAGTGAAACAAAGATATATTAGTCGATCGATCAATCAACGATATCATTCCGGGTCTTCAAGTGTATGTCCTCAGCTAGTGTAGCCTATGATTTTTCTCTAAGGGAGTGCTAACAAGCTCGGCTTCTAATAGACCAACCTCGAAAATTATGTCCAAGGCATACTTCCGCTGGCACAAAAAGATTCCTTCTGGGCCTCTCCTAATCTCAACTCCAAAAAAATATTCTAAAGCACCCAAATCTTTCATGTGAAAGCACTTATTGAGATAGGGCTTGAACCGCTGAATGGTAACAGGAACATACCCAAAAATGATCAAATCGTACATGTAAATAAGCACATTGATCTGCATATCTTTCGGTATCAAAGTGATTTGAGAATAATTTGAATATGATTGCTTGAACCCATAGTCTTTCGGGGCATTCAACAACTTGACATACCAATAACGCGGAGCATATTTCAATATACAAAGAAATTTTCGAAGATTGCACACCTTTTCTGATCAAGTAACTCAAAACTCGGGGGGTTAATCTCATATATACTTATTCTTGAAGATCCCCATGTAAGAATTCAGAATGTCCATTTGATGTAATTCTAAGCTCTTTATTTCAGCAATAGCCAAAAATGTCTGAATAGTTACCATCTTGGTGATCAGAGCAAATGTCTCAATATAATCAATTCTCTCCAATCAATTATTGCCGAAAATGACTAGATTTGCCTTATATCGCTCGAGGGTGTCATCCGAGTTGTATTTGATCTTGTAAACCCACATATAACTAAGCACTTTCTTATTAGGAGGCAGGTCCTCTATCGCTCATGTCTCTTTATTCTCCGATGCTTGTATCTCATATTGCATTTCCTTCCTCCACCGTTCATCCTTCACAGCATCCGAGAAATTTGTTGGCTCATGCCCTACAGTAATTACTTTAGAAAACTTCTATATTGCAGCGAAAAATTTCATAATTCACATACTGTGCTATATTTACGGTAGGGCTCAACTGAGAGATGTTGTGACACGGGTGACAGATCATATGGACTTAATTTTTGGATCGTGTTGGTAACATAATCACAAAGAACGGATTCTTTTTTTTTTGGTAAAAAGTTTTATGCAAGAAGCTGAAATTGGTTATGAGAAAACCTTTCCACCAGTTATAAAGTTTACCAATTCGATTATCTTTGGCTATTGTTGCACGTTTGGATCTGAAATTACACCAAATGGACATGAATAATTTTTTGCAATGGAGAACTAAATGAGAAAATACATGGAACAACATATAGATTTTGTCATTAAAGGCCAAAAAAAGAAAAAAAGATTTGCAAATAGAAAAGATCTATATATGGCCTGAAACTGTCCTCGAGGAAATGGTATTTGAGATTTCACTAGGAGGTGATCTCATATGATACTATGATACAATGAAAATTATTGCATCTATATGAAGAAGTCCAATGAAATATTTATAATTCTTTTTCTTGACGCGCATGATATGTTTTTGCCAGAAATAATTTGGAGTATCTGAGAACGATTAATCATGGCTTTCAATGTCATTTGACATGAAAGATATGGGTGAGATAGACTACATCCTTGGAGTTAAGATCCAAATAAATCGTTCCAAGAAGTTATTGCATCTATCTCAAGAAACTTATATAGAGAAAGTTTTGGAATGCTTTTGACTAAATTATTGCAAACCCATGGATACTCCTTTAGCGGAAGTGAAACCTCAAGTCTTGAAATGTGTTTAGAGATTAAAAATAACAAGGAATACATAACTTGAGTTCCATATTCAAGTGATGTCAGGAAGTTGATGTACGCTATAATGTGCACCCAAATATTTATTATGTCATAGGTTTGATTGACAGGTATCAAACCAATCTTGGAAGAGATCATTGAAAAGAAATGATGAGGATTTTTCGATACCTAAAGAAAACTGCAGATTCTTCACTATGTTATAGTGAAAATGAATTATCTTTAGAGAGTATACAAATGTGAGAGACATCATGGCAAATGAAGAAATAACATTACAATACATACAAACACAAAAAATATAGTTGATCCTCGTACAAAAGCAATATCTAGATATATATTTGAGAAACATGTATAGCTCTAGGTTTGCAAAGGATATGTTAGTATTTGTGTATTGTAAAATATTTAGTTATTATAGTATACTCATTAATGTATTATTATTAATATTTAGTTGATATTTTGTATGCATGTGATGGTATCCTTTTGAAGGATATAAGTGTGTCAGATAAGTGGCGAGATCGACTCTCTCACACGAGTGATCGCCCCTAACGTCGAGGAACATGCATAGATGAGATATATTAAAACCTTGATTAGTGCAAGGTCATGTATATCTTCGGACAAAATGGTTTGTCTTGACTAGAGTTCAAGTTTAAGGATTTCATGATCCTTAATGACTTGTTTTATGAGCCAAATGTGAGTTTCTCTAAGAATTGAATTTGAGGATTGTTAAAGTGAGAAACTCGGGTTAGACATCTGGAGGTGCATAGACTAAGATGTGGACACTGTTGAATGAGCAATGAATAAGACACGTAGTCCAATATAATGTGAGAATACCGTAACATGTGTTGCATACCGCGTGTGCTATCAACCAATGGAAAAGTAGAAGAATAGATCCTTGCTTCTTCATTGTGTGAGATGCTGAAGAGTTATATTAACTTTAATAGGAATATCTTTTGGCTTCTTGAAGTGCCAATCGGTGTTGCTATTTAGCATGTCACCAATAGCCATGAGTGATTCGCAATGCAATGCATGTCTACGAAAGCAGTTGATTTGGAGCGAATATATTCAAGTAGAAAGGAAAGACGATTAAAATTAGTAAGTTAACTTGTATCCACATGTCGCCAATTACACTTACTATGAGGGTATCAATCATAAAAAGACATTGTACAGATGCATTTTTCGGCAACAGCTACAGTGTTGGTGGGGATACATCGACCGATGTTTCTTTCTCATCTGATTTCAGTGTGATTTGAGGTTTAATTCGTTAGAAATTATTTACGTTACCAACAGTAAGAATAAAAGAATAAATTGTAATTCACGGAAACAAGTTTATAAAGACATCATTAAACTTAACCTGACGGGTCGCAAGGACAAGTAATGACATAACCCTTGTTTATGCCCTAGCCTTAAAACGTTACTCTCAGTAATGCCATAATATATTTTTAAAAATAAAGCGATAAGAATCATTTTTCTCATTCACGTTTAATTAATAATCGTTCCAACGACTGCATGAACATTTTACTAAACTTCATTAGCTGTTAGTTTTTGCCCGGTGAAATTTTTAAATAAAATAATTCCTAAGAAATACGTTAATACTAGTTCGGAAATATTATTATTTTCGTAAAATGATTGAAATAATGGGTTACTTCCGTAAAAATGCCATAAAAGTAAGATAGACTTTTAAATAATAATTATGTAGAAAAACTAACCTGATAATCCTACACCCCCAATTTTGAGACCGTTACCAAGAATAAGAGTGGCAGGATAGGTTCTATCAATGTCACAAGCAGCAACACCTACAGCCCATGGACTATAAGAGATGACAGAGTAAGGAGAAGGACCCTGGTTCCCAGCTGCTTGAACAACAAATGTTCCAGCCTTGTGTGCAGCTAACATGAATATCTCAAACAGGCTCAAGAAAGTCAGTGTGCCTTCTGGTGGTTCATCTGGTCCTATTGATAGAGTCAAGATATCAACCCCATCTAATACTGCCTGCAAATTAATTTGTGAAACTGGGTCAATCTCTTGAAATTTTAGAATTTGGTTGAATGAGAATTCCGGATCGGACTCATGCATATTAGAAAAATGAAAGGTGTGAACTGGGCTACGTATGTGCTAATGCTAAAACGATATCAATTACTTCTTTCTAATAGTCGTGGTGTTCGAGTCAATTTGCACGCATTTCAATTATACTAAAACAATAATTACTTATATAATAGCGGTGGAATTGCAAAGGAAAAATAACTACTCCCTCCGTCCCGAAAAAAGATGACACTTTTCGAATTTCAAGAGTCAAATGAGTAGTTCTTTGACCACGAGTTTTTCATATACCTTTCAAATATTTTGAATTGTTAAATATTGTGACTCATAGTATAGTTTATATAATATTTAAATTTTACTTAAAAAAACATAAAGATTTTATGTCTAAATTCATCGTCAAATTTAAGAGGTTTGACTCTCAAGATCCGAAAAGTATCATTCTTTTTCGGACAGGGGGGAGTAATACTTCTAAAGGTTTTTGACAACTCTACCTCTTAAATTATGTATTTCTTTTCCAAATAATGTTTTGAGCATGCGCATAAGTTGCTAATACTACTTATGACTTTTTGGTATTGTTTAGGTTGAGACTCGAGGTGTCAACCGTCCAAGCATGTTCTAAATCAGTTTTAAGTTAGAGGAATTACACCAGTAATTTTCTAGTGATCATGATCGACCGGATTGACTTGTACAATTGCAAAGGAGCTAGTAGTGATCGTGAAGAAGGCTTCACAAATGCAGTTACGCTATTAGGAGGATTTATCCGTGATGTTCAAGCCCAGTGGAGTCCGCAATTTCGGAAGAGATATTGCGATCACAAAGGGCTTTAGTATTTAAACTCTAGAAACGAGTTGAAGAATCAATTTTGAGACTTCTGAGGCAAGGAACCCTCGGGTAGATTGATCATCCACATGAGTCACGGTTTACGATCGCCTCATATTCCAGTGTGCATCATGCTAGTGTACATGGAGGCTTTGTAACAACCCGGTAAGTCCGGGATGGTGGTCAGGCCATTAGAGGTGGAGTCCAGTCAGGGAGAGGCCATCTGAGAGGTGGTGGTCAGATTGGTGGGGCTCAGCCCCATTGCTATGCATTTCCAGCTAGACCTGAGGCGGAGTCGTTTGATGCGGTCATCACAGGTATTGTTCTAGTTTGCCATAAAGATGAATTAATTTTATTTGATCCGGGATCCACTTATTCATATGTGTCATCCTATTTTTTTCATATTTAGATATATCTCGTGATTCTTTGAGTGCCCCTGTTTATGTGTCTATGCTTGTTGGGGATTCTATCATGGTGGGCCGGGTCTATCGCTCTTGTTTGATCACGATTGGGAATTATGAGACTAGAGTTGACCTTCTATTACTTGATATGGTGGATTTTGATGAGATTTTGGACATGGATTAGTTGTCACCATATCATGCTATTTTGGATTGTCACGCCAAGACTGTGACGATAGCCATGCCTAGGTTGCCTCGATCGGAGTGGAGAGGGACTCTTGGTCATTCCACTAGCAGGCTCATTTCATATTTAAAGGCTCGGTGTATAGTCGAAAAGGGGTGTTCGGCGTATTTGGCTTATATCCGCGATTCTAGTGCGGAGTTTCCTTCCATGGATTCGTTCCGGTTGTGCGTGAGCTCCCAGAGGTGTTTCCTACAGACTTCGCGGCATACCACCCGATAGAGATATCGACTTTCGCATTTACTTGGTTCTGGGCACTCAGCCCATTTCTATTCCACCATACCGTATGGCCCCAGTTAGGATTAAAGAATTGAAGGAACAATTGCAGGATTTAATTGATATGGGATTCATTAGATCTAGTGTCTCGCCTTGGGGTGCACCGATGTTGTGTGTGAAGAAGAAGGACGGATCGATGTGAATGTGCATAGATTATCGGCAGTTGAACAAGGTCACTATCAAGAACAAGTATCCGTTCCCGAGGATTTTGACCGGCTTCAGGGGGCCAAGGTGTTTTCCAAGATTGATTTGAGGTCTGGCTACCATCAGGTGAAGATTAGGGCATCGGATGTCCCAAGACCGCTTTTCGAACTCGGTATGGTCACTACGATTTCTTGGTGATGTCATTTGGCTTGACTAATGCCCCAGCAGCCTTCATGGATTTGATGAACCGGGTATCCAAGCCATATTAGGATTCCTTCTTGATCGTCTTCATCGATAATATTTTGGTTTACTCCTGCAGTCGAGAGGAGCATGAGCAGCACCTATGGATCGTACTTCAGACTTTGAAGGATCATCCCGTTATATGCCATATTTTCGAAGTGCGAGTTCTGGTTAGACTCATTTGCCTTTTTGGGGCATATCGTATCTTCCGAGGGCATCAAGGTAGATCCTAAGAAGATTGAGGCAGTTCAGAACTGACCTAGACCTACTTCAGCTATAGAGATTGGGAGCTTCCTAGGTTTGGCCGGGTATTATCGCCGGTTCATGGAGGGATTTTCATCTATCTCAGCCCCATTAACCAAGTTGACCCAGAAGGGTGTCCTTTTCAGATGGTCTGACGAGTGTGAGGTGAGCTTTCAGAAGCTCAAGAATGCATTGACTACAGCCCTAGTATTGGTGTTGCCTACAAGATCGGAATCTAACATTGTGTATTGTGATGCATCGCATATTGGGCTTGGCATGGTGTTGATGCAGGACGGTAGGGTGATTGCATACGTGTCTCAGTAGTTGAAGGTTCATGAGAAGAATTACCCTGTGCATGATTCGGACTTGGCAACCATTGTCATGCGCTAAAGATTTGGAGGCATTATTTGTACGGCGTTCCATGTGAGGTCTATACCGACCATCGAAGTCTCCAACACCTGTTCAAGCAGAAGGACCATAATTTGCAGCAACAGAGATGGTTAGAGTTGCTAAAAGACTATGATATTACCAAATTATATCATCCGGGAAGGACAATGTAGTGGACGATGCATCACATAGGAAGTCAGAGAGCATGGGCAGCTTGGCATATTTACCGGTAGTGGAGAAGCCACTAGCCATGGATGTTCAAGATTTGGCCAATCAGTTCGTGAGGCTGGATGTTTCGGAGCCTAGCCGGGTTTTTGCTTGTGTCGTGGCACAGTCATCGTTGTTGGAGCGTATGAAGCCTCGCCAATTTAATGATCCTCTTGGTGTTGAAATACACGATGCAACGGGGTGGTGCTAAGGAGTTTGTGATTGGAGATGATGGTGTTATGAGGCCTCAAGGCCGGATTTGTATTCCAAATGTTGATGGTTGAGAGAGCTGATCCTTGAGGAGGCTCACAGTTCGCGCTATTCCATTCACCCAGGTGTCACGAAGATGTACCGTGACTTGAAACAACAGTATTGGTGGCGGAGGATAAAGAGAGATATTATTGATTATGTCTCTCGATGTTCGAATTGTCAACTGGTGAAGTATGAGCATCAGAAACCGGGTGGATTGACCGAGAGATTGGAGATGCCGGAGTGGAAGTGGGAGCGCATCACTATGAATTTTTTGGTCGGCTTACCCTGGGCCTTGAGGAAATATGACGCAATCTGGGTTATTATGGACCGATTGACTAAGTTTGCACACTTCTTTAGATTTATAGACCGGTGATGACTTCCTATTCTTTAGAGCGGTTGGCTCAGATTTATATTCGGGAGATTATTCACTTGCACGGCATGCCCATTTCTAACATTTCTGACCGAGGCACGCAGTTCACATCGCATTACTAGAGAGTCGTATAGCGTGAGTTGGGCACGCGGATCGAGCTGAGTATCGTGTTTCATCTTCAAATGGATGGACAGTCCGAGTGCACTATTTAGATTTTGGAGGACATATTGCGGGCATGTTCTGTGGATTTCGGGGGTCACTGGGACCAGTTTTTACCTCTAGCGGAGGTCGCCTATAACAACAGCTATCAGTCGAGCATCTAGATGTTTCCGTACGAGGCCTTACATGGGAGGCAATGTCATTTGCCGATTGGATGGTTTGAGCCCGGTGAGGCTAGATTATTGGGCACTGATTTGGTCCGTGATACTTTGGAAAAGGTTAAGGTGATCCAGGAGCGACTTCGTACAGCTCAGTCCAGGAAAAAGAGTTATGCATACCGGAAGGTTCGAGAAGTGGCTTACATGTGGGCGAGAAGGTTCTTCTCCAAGTGTCGCTTATGAAGCGCGTGATGTGGTTTGGGAAGAAGGGCAAGTTGAGCCCGAGGTTTATTGGACCGTTTGAGATCTTGGAGAGAGTTGGGGAGGTTGCTTATAGGCTTGCATTGCCTCCTAGCCTAGCGGGGGTACATCCGGTATTTCACGTTTCCATGCTTAGGTCACATGTTTTAGACTTCATCATGGTACAACTTGATGAGAACTTGACCTATGAGGAAGAGCCGGTGGCTATTCTAGACCAACAGGTTCGAAAGTTGAGATCCAAGAGTTTTCCTTTTGTGAAAGTGCAATAGGGAGGTCAGCCGATTGAAGAGGCTACGTGGGAGTCCGATTCCGATATAAGGAGTAGATACCCACACATTTTTACTAGTTCGGGTACATTTCTATGTCCGTTCGAGGAAGAACGTTTCCTTTAGAGATGGAGAATGTGACGACCCAATATGTCGTTTTGAGTACTAGCCTTAATTTCCATGTTCCAAGACCTCTCATAGCTTCATTTGATGTTTATTGGTTTGTGTGCATGGTCCGCATCGTTTTTCAGAAAGCTTTTACGTAAAATTTCGAAGAAAAGGTAATTTTTGACTTAAAATGAGGTTTGAGTTGACAACGGTCAACGTTTTAGATAAACGACCTCGGATCGGTATTTTGACGATTTCGGTAGATTCGTATGATATTTTTGGACTTGTACGGACGTTTGGTTGGGGTCCCGGTTGAGCCAAGCGGATTTTGGCGCATTATGTAAAAGATTTGGAAAAATGAATTTTAAGGTTGAAATCTGTTTTGATGAACGATTCTTGTTATTAGATGTTATTTGACGATTT